CTTTTGGTCGTTCGAAGCCATGGATCAATTCTTGCTACACTTTCATTAATTAATTAATATGGCCCAGGCTCAACGTAACCAGGAAAAAAAATAAAAATTTAAAAAAATAAGAAAGAAACAAAAAGGCACTTGACAAATTTTCGTGAGAGTTTGTAAAAATGAAGATATTCAACTTCTTCTAGAACAAATGTTAGTGAGCCTAGAAAATAAAGGAAGAAAATAACAAATAAAAGAATCACAAAATGCCCATAAATTGAGCTCTACCTCTTTATAAATTTCGAAATATCATCTCTCAATATAAATTAAATGATTCCTAGAGTATTTTCCAAGAAAAAAAAATGGGATAAAATTCTGGTGTAGGGAGAAATGGGGGGAAAAACAACAAGCAAAATAAGTGTATTTTGCGTTGTTGGGCTATGCAGCTGCTTAGCATCAACGGATGTCGGTGCACAAGACAGAAGCATAACTAATGGTGCTATGCATCGGAACTACACCAATTGCGACCCCATCTCCGGCGATCCTAGACTTTGTCGTCCCGCGAATCCGGCCCAGAGATACACACGTGGGTGTGAAACGGCTGCACGTTGCCGGGGCGGTCAGCTCGGCCGTCACAAAGCTTCAACCGATCATCGTATCTAAAATTGAGAATACGCATTTAAAAAATTATTGTCCAGTTTTGATTTTCACGTTTAGTACAATTTGAACTAAAAATGAAAATCTAAACTGGTCAATAATTTCGGGACGGAGAGAATATATGTTTTAATTATTATACAATTAGATAGGATTGGTGTTTTTTTGGGACAAATGAGATAATAACTGTACACCGGAGATTCATCTTTGTATTATTATTATTATTTTTTTGGTTAAATTACTGAGAGAGAGATTAAACTCTTGTCATTTAAATACAAATATTATGAGGATATAAGCCGTATATAACATCATTTACATTGTGTTTTTGTTAATATTTACACTTATGCGCTGCTTAAAGAAACAATAAACTGTTTTTAGTTTTAGTTTTTTCACGAGAAAACAATGGTAATTTAAGGAGACTACTTAATTAGCTCGAGTGATATATACTTCTTCTAACTCAAAATGATTTTTTATCCAATTTAAATTTTTATTTTTACTATAATTTGAAGTAAAATTAAGTATACAAATTGGATAAGAATTTCGGAAGGGAAGGAAGAACATATATTGAGAAAATTAGTTAGTTTAGGTTTAGGGTGATGAACTGAAGGAGTACATTATGGTTATGAGCTGGTTACGAAGAGAAGAGACACGAAAAAACACTTGCGGATTAATTAAAATCAGAATGAAATTCCAATTCAAGAATCTGAACATTTTATCAATCTTTTATTTTCCTAATAATCGCAGGGCACGAGTATTTGCAAATACAAAATTGAACAAGAATTGAATCAAAACATTTAAATCCAATCATGAGTATCCCGTATTCATTTTGACAGTACGCTCCGCAGCCAAGCCCTCCATCATCGTGGCACATCATATACTTGAATGAATAGCATGTATCTCCACGAACTGCAATTTTTTGTAAAACAAATTAAAAAATAAGAGGAGAAAAAAAAAAGAAGCATATGTATAACTGTATAAGCATCCGTATATGTTAATTAGCTTTTACTTTTAACTAAAATACTAAAATGAAAGAGAGCTAGTTATTAATTTTATTGGTCTTAAAATGAATTTTATATGTCAATTAGTTATAATTAGATAAGTATTAAACTGAAGGAATTAGTTATGTAAAAATATAACACTATCAAAATGATTCTCCTGTTAACAACATGATGACTATTTTGGAACACAAAAAATTTGAATATATACCGTTTATCGAGTTAACCATGAGTATCAGAAGCAAAATAGTGGTTAAGATCTTCGACATTTTGTACTCGCGGTCTCGATCTTAAAGCTTTGATAAGTTTGAATTAAGAACGTTGTACTAGGTGTTTCTATTTTATAGCACTCAACTGTACCAGAATTCATTTAGGAGTTTGATGATAACTAATAAAGCCATTTAATGATAATTTTGATATTTGGTTACAAACATCAATACATTACTAACTAATTTGACTGGTGTTTGGCACGACGATTATACTTTTTAAGAATTTTACTATTGACTATGTTTCAAATTCTGTGCACCTGTGATTCAAATATTTGATCCGAAAATTCAGCGAACTAATTAGGACAATAGTTTCGAACCAAGTGTCTTCAAGACATATTAGTAGTGACATCTTGTCATATACTCTTTTCATTTCAAAATGTAAGTCGTTTTAGATTTGGAGAAATATTTTAAAATGTAGCTCGCTATAAGATTTCAAGGTAAATTAATGATAAACTTCTCAACTTTGCCCTCAATAAATAATACTAATCACTTTTCTTCTAGTCTTGGTTATAGTTTCAAAACAATAAATGATAGGTAAAATAGATATTTAACATACTAATTAATTGTTAAATAATTATATTCTTAATTTTTCTTCAATAACCAAACCAATCAGGCAGTTTCCTAATGTATAGAAACATAATTTAATCACCAAAAATACTCGATTTTGCAAGAAAATCTATAGCGATCCCTTAAAGTCCAATCTAATCAATTAATCAACAATTTAATAATAACAGTCTTTTAACCAAACCTTATTCTTGCCTAACTTCCAAGAGTCCCACAAATACTTTAATAATAAGAAGTTTCTTCAATCCAAGTCTGACTCCAATTCCAATTAAACAAAAAATATACTTCCTCCGTCCCATAATTATTGTCCACTTTACCCAAAAAAATTTTGTCCCAAAATTATTGTTCAATTTGATTTTTTATGGATCAAGTTACACATTTGTCCTTAGTAAAAAACATTATCCACAAAATCTTAGTGCTTAAACAATTATTTATGTAGGGGTATATCCGGTTGTTTAAGATAAAATATAGTTAAGTTTGACCAAAAATAAAATCTTTCATTTTAGTAAAACTGGACAATAATTATGGGACGGAGGGAGTATATTTTTGGGGTCAAAAATATTATCGGAATATGTAACAATACAATGGGACGACCGATCACATAGTCACGCATATGCACCTACTATGTTTAGTATTACCATTGGCTTGTTGAGGGTTAAATATTTTGAGAATGAAGAAAGTTTTTTAGTGGGTAATTAGTATGGATTAAATTACCACCTAATCATTTCAAAAAAGAAAAGTTATATATAATAATAGAAAATTGGTTACCCTGAGGCCTCAACAAGCTGTTGTTTTGCCTTTGCAGGCGACACCACTTGATCCGTTGTTCAAGGAACGGAGGTAAGCGTGCATTTTAAGGTCTAATTATGCCAAAAAGCTGAATCAAACACATCAATGTCATTTTTTCAGCATCACCGATGGATATGCCAGAGGAGATTAAGACAGAGATTCTGGTGAGACTTCCGGTGAAATCATTGTTGAGATTTCAATGCGTTTGCAAAGATTGGAGGTGTTTGATCCCAAGCCCGCGCTTTATCGATATGCATCTTAACCATCCGTCCCACCCGCCGGAGTCAGGAGGAGGACTATCTCCTTGTCAAACGCTGTGAAAGGGATAACACCACCGTCTCGTCGTCATTTTACTGCCCACCAAATACTTCACTTTCCGATTTCCCAGCTGCTTTGGATTATGTGGAGATGGCCGGACCTTGCAACGGAATCGTATGCCTCGCAGAAAAGACCAACGGCTACCTGTTTAATCCTTTTAGGTACGGCCTATATGATGAGGCCATCTTTCTATGTAATCCATCTACTCGCCAATCCTGGAGACTTCACGACAGGCCCTTTGGCTTTCTTTGCAGTTTTGCTTGCAGCAGGATTGGTTTCGGCTTCGGATATGATCCTTGTACCCATGATTATAAGGTTGTCTTGCTTTTGAATCTTCAGGATGACAAGGATATCATCGACTGTTGTTACGGCACCAACAAGATTGAGATCTACTCTCTCACCACCAACTCCGGGAGACAAGTTGTGCCCCTTTCGGGGGGAGGTTCTTGTTGTAACCATTTCAATCTTGATGGCCCTGGCTTACTTTTCCGCGGTTGTATTCTTCATTGGTCTGCGATTGACACAGATCGTAACGCTGATATCATTCTGTGTTTAGATATCAGCAATGAGGTGCTGACATCGATGTCCGCCCCTCCTGATGAAATTTCAGGAACAGCCCACCGTCTAGTGGTGCTGGAGGACTCCCTGGCGTTGGTTCTTCTACAATTTCAAGCCCAAACCCCCACGTTTGAGGAGCTAACCTCGATTCACGTCTGGTGATGGTCGAACAGGGAGTGAATGAGTCCTGGATGAAGACGTGAATCGAGCTGTTTGAAAGGATTTGCTTTCCCTTAACTTGTTGGAACCGGAAGCTGTTTCTCCAGGTTGGTGATGGCGAGCTGGTATCGTGTGATCTCGTGGAAGACGATTGTCACCTAGAGAAACACGACATTTATGGGTACTACAACGGTGGTCCTGCCTATGGTGCGTATGGTATGCTGGATGCTCTAGTTATGCATACTGTCTCACTTGAAGCAATGATCATAAATATATGTGACAACTGCGAGGGACGAAATGATGAGGAATAAGTTCTTAGAGTTGATTCTTTTACAATGGTAGGAATGGATGTGAGCCTAGATGTATTTGTCATTCTTGCCTTTCATCGAGCCAACTTGTTAAAAGTTGTTCTTGTGAATGTTAACATTACATCTTCTGATTTTTGCACAATGCTAGCCAGCATGTGGTGTTGGTATACTCCCTTGATTGTTTAAATTCATATGAAATTTCTTGTGTTTGGAACATTTGAAATGATTTGAAAATGCTGATAGCACCGTGTCTGCAAAGTGAATTTAGCAAGGGAAAAGGTACCAGAATCTGGAAAGAGGATAGAAAACTTTGAGCTGATCCTTTCAATTGATGATTCTGTTATCTGAGATTTACTTACAAAGCAAATTTCTCTTTTACTTTTTGTTGGTTCCTTATATATTTTAAATTATCACAGAATGCTTTCATCTGTGATGACTGCTCCCTTTATGATAACAACTATACCTCCTCTAATAACATAGCCATTTGCTTCTCTGTTGCCTTCCTGCACATTGTCTTTATTAAGGATCTGCATCATCATCGTCATCGTCATCAAAATCAGCAGAAAGATTAGCCAACAGTTTGGATTTTCTTTTCTTTTTGTTTGTGAGGATATGATGCCTTACCATGACATTTTTGCCGATTCTCACATCCTTGTCTATAATTGCCTTTCTAATGACTGAACCCTCCCCTATTCCAATAGGAATGCTTTTCGAGAAGCCATTGAAACTTGCCCCTTCAAAATCATTTCGGTCCTGCAAATGTTCATCTGTATTTGCTCAAGGTACTGAACAAATAATGGCAAAGGAAATCCAAAACATCGAATGGTTTTATCTTCTTTCAATGAAATCAAAAGACTTACTAGATAAGCGTCCGAACCCATGATTATGGAATCCTCAATTATGGCTCCCTCACCCACCCTTGTTCTCATACCAACAACTGTGTTTCTAATGTGGCATTTCTGTTACAACCACAGATAAAGGAAGAAGATTATCTTTCTGATACAGTGATGCAAGTACTACCATCTGCACCAGATACTTTAAGTTTCCTTAAATTAAATGCATAAGAAGTTGAAGATAGAGAGTTTCTTACGCTGAGAACACAGCCGTCTCCAACCATTGAGTCAATGATGACCGCATCAGCTATGAGAGTTGGAGGTGAACGTCGAGGCAGAGTGTAAAGAGGGGAATTCAGGTCATGGAAGCTGGTAAATCAAGAACACTTCTGAGGTAAGTTGTTTATATGCGGCAAATAGTAACTTTTAGGAGTAATGATATGATAGTAAATTAGTAATAAATCATGATGTCTGAAGTTCTATATTCACTTATTGTGCTCAGCTGTCATGTCTCATTTATCACGATTGAGAAGCAATGAGTGATTGGCTCTATCCTTACTCAAGGTTATATATACATACTTATATTGGCATTGGTTAAAGTTTGTTAGTTACTAACTCATGTGCAGCTGATGTAATGTGTCTTTGCCGTAGGATTTCCATATTCGCATTGTAAAATGCTTCGATGCTTCTCATGTCCTCCCATTGGCCATGAAATTTATATCCTTGAACCTGACTAATCCAAATCCACCAGTGATTTCTTCTTTCAATCAAGCAGAGTCAAAAATAAAAAAAATTCAGCCAACATAAGCAATGCTTTCTAAGACTGACCTTCATTCCCAAGGCCATTGCCCTTGGTATAATTTCACATCTCAGGTCATTCGCCTTTGGAAAATGCTCTTTTAGTAGATTGATCATCACATCTCTGCTAATCACATAAATTCCCATGCCAGGATGAATACTCATATCAGATGCAACTGAAGTTTGTGCCTGCAACAAGTTAGTCAGAACTCAGACCTTGTTCCCTCTATATACTCCTGATTCATAGATAGATATATACATGATACAACAGCACTTTTTGGTAACCTACAGAAAAAATTTCAATGTCCGGGGGAGGATTCTCTAGGAACTCGGAGACTTGATCTTCTGAATTTAGTTTGACAAAGCCAAATCCTGGATTTTCATCTCTCATACTGCTAAGTACAGCAAGAGTTATATCAGCTGCATTGCTCCGATGAGCCTCAATAATCTCCCTGTAATCCATTTTGTAAAAATGGTGACCAGGAAGGATCAAAAACTCCAAACACGAATACTCTTCTAGAATCCATAGAAACCTTCTTATAGCATCAGCAGTTCCCTAATAAAAAAAAAAATTGAAGTGAAAGAACCAAATGATCAAATGCCAGCGAGAAAATGATTCACTGATTAGTAAATATGTGAAGTATTTCACCTGAAACCAGCCCTTCTCTTCTGGAGTCTGACACGCGGCGATTACTTCTAAGAAACCATCTTTTCCAAGGGATAATGCTCCTGAATAGGCTCTTGACAGGTGCGAGTTTAGAGATGTCGAGTTAAACTGTGTTATCGCGTATATTTTTGAGATGTGACTGTTAATGCAGTTGCTAACAACTGCATCAATCAGTCTGTAGTTCCCTGCGATGGGAATGGCACCTTGCGATCTCCATTTTGTGAGAGGATACAGCCTTGAAGGTGATGATCCATCTCCAAAAACAATGGCTGCAACCCTCTGCTGCGAAACTGCAAATGTGATCAATACATAGTAGACTTATTTTATTTCTGATGACATTACCCCCTCAATCAATAACCTTCCAGAAAAAAATTCAGTTAGCATCAGATACTTGTAAATACATCTATGTAATGTCAAAATCACGCAAAGCATACACAACAAACTTTATTGACATCCATTAAAAGTTTATACTTAGATGGAAAGATTATATGTGCATTAGCCTGATGAGTCCAGACCTGGTTTTGTGGTGCTAAAAGAGACGCCAAGCGCTCAGACTGCTGCGCATTTGATACAACCAGGCTGGGAGCAGCACCCGGGATCCACTTCAATCCAGCAAGTTTGCTACATTTTCCATGAGGAAGCTGAAGAAAGTTGGGATTTCCGAAAGCGTGTATAGACATGAAAGGAGAAGATTATCCAGTTTGTATGTGAAGAAACACGGGCTAATCCTAATCCAACCCCTAATTTATTATGATTTATAGCTAATTGGGTGCAAATATTTGTAATCATTCTTCCGGAGGTGACATGTGAAGGATATAATGAAGGTGAGAAGAGAAGAATGGAATGGAATATTGTAGATTTCTTCTTCCTCATGTATACACTTGTTTCACCCGCTTTGCTTAACAGATTGCCTTAGAAGAATTGACAGAGAATATAAATTGCAGCTTCCATCACAATGTGCATTGTTTTTAAGTATTGTAGGAAATTAAAGTGATAGCATAATACTTTGAGGTCCTATAATGTATACATACAGTTCAAAAGTTGATGAGAAAGGCATAAATGAACCATTTTTTAGGTATTGATTTTGTATATTTAATATGGAACTGGTTGAGTTTTAGAACAATGTATGTGCCAGCTGATTTGGCTTATTTTGGGAAAACAAGGATGAAGTAGGAGTGAAGTTAAGCATATATCTGATGTCTAAGCTTTTGGTAAAATAAAAATCCCAAAAAATGCATTTTTATATTCTCATTGTGAGGAAAAGAAAAATTCCCCATTCAAATTTTGTCTCTCACACTTGCTCTTTATGCCTTGATGATTACTCACAATCACACAGAAATTTTGGGTTTGTGGCATATTTTTTTTATTTTTTGGTCGAATTCTTAGGATTAGAAGCGTTACAAATTTACAATCTTTATTAAGATGACAAATCAAATCTATGATAAACAGTTCATAGACATCATAAACTTGAAGAAATCGAAATTCAAAGATAGATGTAAGCTATAATTAAGCTGCAGAAGAAGCTGTCAAAACCCAATACAAAATGGTCATGATTCCGAAATGTCGTTTTTATCGGCATGCGAGGGGATTTTTATGGACTCCCTGTAGTTCCGACAATATATAAAAAGGAAAATTAAAGGGGAAAAAGGCAAAATCTTTGAACTCAACTCAACTATTTCAAAGCGTTGCAAATATTTGATTAATACATAATTTATGGCTTGTTTGATAACTTCACCAATGCTCAAAATGATCCAATCAAGAGAATTTTTTTTTTTAATTTTAAAGTGTTTGATACTCCCTCTATTTCAAAATGTAAGTCGTTTTAGGATTTCAAGGTAAATTAATGATGAACTTCTCAACTTTGCTCTCAATAAATAATGCTAACCACCTTTCTTATAGTTTTGGTTATAGTTTCAAAACAATGTATAATGGATAAAAATAGATAGTTGATACACAAATTAATTGTTAAATAATTATTTTTTTAGTTTTCATCCAGACTCTAAAGTGACTTACATTTTGAAATGGAGGGAGTAATAAATTAGTTGGATTTTTACTCGATTATTAAAAAGTGGCCCTTGATTCTTTAAGTTTTTCATGTTCCCTCTATTGTTTAACAGGAAAGGTTTCTTTAATATTTGAGTATATATTCTAATGTACTATTATTAAAATAATTTCTAGCACAACTCAATTCTTGGTATTGTATTAGTATTTCTGGCCTTTTTTTATTATTTTCTTAAACCTACAATTAAGAAGCAATTCGATTTTTTCTTCTTTTTTTTTTTTTGTATGTTAACAAAATTACTCGAAATTTCACTCCGAAAGTCGAAGGAAAGCAAACTGCACGAAAAGGTTGCAGCTTGGCAGCATCAAACTGGAATTGAAGTTGGAAATGGCCATAAATGAGGCTCCTCTTCATATAGTTTCTTCTTCTGGTTTAATTAGCCCTGCGTGCAAGAGACACCAAACTTTCCTTGTGAACAATTACAGCTCCAACAATCCCGTCAACATATATCTTCCTTATAAGCTCACAGCCATCCTCCACAAGATCACACGAACTTAGCACGCCGACATCACTTCTCATAATCAGCTTATTGTCATTCCAACATGCGAAGGGGACGGGGACACCTACAAAGGGGTCCTAATCGGAATCTCTTCGTCCACATCGTAAGATCTATGTAGACTTATACACTAAATATACGATTGTATGTTACAAGCTATCATAAAATACTAGTCCATATAAAGTGATCTAATTAAGTTAAGATTAGTTTGGGCAAATTATAATAATTAAGTTATAAGGTGTGGCCGGTATTGTGTAGAAACTCTAAGGCCCAATTTCCTGTTCTGTGATGGGTGGAACCGGAAACCCTATTATATATTGATTGTGGTTCCCGGATGACCTGTCATGCCAGATCTCCACTCCCTATTTGTCAAATGTTCTCGCAAGGGTTTGATGGAATCATCTGAAAGACCAAGCCGGATCGATGTTCTTGCCACTACAGATTAAGATACGCTTCCGTTTTCGTATAATTCTCAATAATCTGATATGAAATTCTCTACTATGTATGAATTTATTCCGATGTACGACTCCTCCACTCCATATTACTTCATCACCCAAATGATAATCAAGGAAGACTTCTCCTCGTAACCACTGAGTTCCTTTCTTAAATAGACCGAAGCCAGGGAATCCTCTAACACAGTCAGAGTCGACAGTTTTGTGAATTCTTGATACGGAGGAGTTGGCGCGGACATCACTCGCACTTCTTCGGTGCTCAAGTCAAAATACAGGATTCTATTTTGATCCAGATTGCCTTCGCGCAAACATGCACACCAATGGAAAGATCCTTTGAAGTATACACCACCAGATTCACCAAAACCACAGGTTGCTAGGCTGCAAAACACCTGGTGTCGCCGGGTTGTCATTTGATGGCAAGGTAGATCTCAGCCTTATAGAACCCGTAACCAAAATCATATTCCTCGGTCGAAAAGAAATCAGGGCCATCCATAAGAAGGAATTCATCATCGTACTCATTATTCTAAGGAGGATAGAGCGACAAGAAAGTGGCATTGTCTGAGTTGTTGTCGCTATCCTTGAGCAGGAGGTAATCGGTTCTGTTGCTCAGAGAAGGATGGTTGAGATGCATATCAATGAAATCGGGACTACGGATCAAAGAACGCCAAGTTTTGCAAACGACATTGAAATTTCAACAAAGATTTGACAGAGAGTCTGAGTAGAATCTCAGTCGTGAGCATTTCCATAATGGACGATGATGAAGATGTTCTTCTTTTACTTTTTCAGCTTAGATACATACGATCACATCTTAAGCATGCAATAGAAGCAAAATTACAAATTTCCTCTGAATCTCATCGAAACAAACATCAGGCATCATCATCATCATCAATCCTGAAAAATCGATAAAAATCGGGAAATCGAATGATTAGAGACTCAAAATTTAACTATTCGTCTTCCATCAATTTTCATCAAAATTCAAAGGTTATCAACTCGCAAGTAAGGAAAAATTAATATAAAAATTGGAGGTTGGTTGGGAATCAAAATTCGGCCGATGTCTTTAAATTTTTGTGAATAATACCATACATGGTTTTAAAGGAATTTGCAGGGATGAGGGAAAGGAAATTGTGCGCCAAAAAGAGGGAAAGGGGTGAGGAAGAAAAAAGTCAGATTTCTTGTAATTTGGAAAATGGTAAAAAGTTGGTAAAATCACACTTGTATTGATGTACACAGGGATATATTTATATACACATTGAACAAGTTACCAAACCCTAATCGTAAAAGTAAATACAACTATTTACGAGTTACTCCTTTACTCCCCCTCAAGTTGGAGCATGTAGATTCTTAATGCCCAACTTGCTAAGCAAAGTATGAAACCTATCCTAACCCAAAGCCTTGGTAAATAAATCTGCTAGCTGCAAAGCAGAAGAAATCGGTTGAGGCATAAGAAGTTTCGACTGAAAATGCTATCGAATGAAATGACAATCAATCTCAATATGCTTGGTACGCTCATGAAAAACCGGATTAGCAACAATATGAAGTGCTGCCTGATTATCACAGAACAAAGGAACTGGATTATCTGAGGGAACTCCCAACTCAATCAGAAGTCGTACTAACCACACAAGTTCACTGGCAGCTACCGCCATAGCTCTATATCCTGCTTCTGCTGAAGAACACGAAACAACTATCTGCTTCTTGGATCACCATGAAAGCGGAGACATGCCCAAGAAGACAATATACCCTGTAGTGGATCGTCGGGTAGTGGGACATCCGGCCCAATCAGCATCACAATATGCGCGTGGACGCAAAGAACTATCAGATGGTAAGAATATTCCTTGCCCTGGCGCTGTCTTCAAGTAGCGCATGACGCACATTGCAGCATCAAAATGTGGCTGACGTGGCTTATGCATGAACTGACTAAGGATATGGACTGCATAAGAAATATCCGGACGAGTAATGGTCAAATACAGAAGACGATCAACAATGCGCCGGTATCAACCAGGATCATCATACAACATTCCGGAATCAAGATCCAACCCGTGCTGTTGTTCCATTGGAGTGGAACTGGGACGACAACCAGTAAGTCCACATTCAGTCAGTATATCAAGTGTATACTTCCTTTGACTAAGTGCAATCCCAGCAGAAGATCGGGCTACCTCAATGCTTAAGAAGTACTTAAGGGGGCCAAGATCCTTAATATAGAAACGACCATGAAGATACCTCTTAAGTCGACCAATCTTAAGGGAATCATTACCAGCCACTATTATATCATCAACATATATCAAAGCTGCAATAAAGGAAGATCCACTACTGTAGATAAATAGAGATGAATCAGAAGAAGACTCCTTGAATCCAGCAGAAACAAGTGACTGAGTAAATTTCTGGTACCAATTCCGAGAGGCTTGACGCAAACCGTATAGAGACTTCTGAAGACGACATACACGTTGCTCCCCCTTTGTGGAAAAGCCCTGCGGAATTTTCATGTATACTTCCTCATGAAGATCACCATGGAGGAAGGCATTAGTAACATCGAGCTGATGAAGTTCCCAATGACGAACTAAAGCAACAGCAAGGAGACAACGAACTGTAACCAATTTAGCGACAGGAGCAAAAGTCTCATGAAAATCAACCCCTTCAATCTGCGTATAGCCTTTGGCAACCAGACGCGCCTTG